TCATCTGTCCTCAAGCACATTAGCAACATTTCCCTAGCTGTTTGACCTCAACGCAGCTGTTACAGAAGTGAAATATTATTATCAGACATACCATGGTAGAAGACTACTGGAAAAAGTACTTAACAATAACGTAACATTAAACGAAAAAGTACACATAGGAAGGTTGGGGAAAGAGACAGTGATCTTTACATTCTCCATCTTGATTGATACTTCATCAGAACACTAACTTGTAAGTTCACAGTCATTTTATAAATTGTTACTTTGTGTTTATTTTATCAAAGCTTCTGCTGTATTTTCCCTATTATCTTTTTAAAAGAATTATGTAGGCAATGAGAAGTGTAATTTTTATGTTTTTGTAGAGAAATTTTTTTCTGTTAGCTTTTCCCAATTAAAAATGCACATTTATTTTTAAGGATTAAAAATATTAATCTGACAAAGTTGTATGTATTGCCATGTGCCTGGTTTGAAATACCTGTATATGGTGAAATGGTTGCTAGAGTAGAAAAGTGCATGTATTATAACACAGGCTGAACGGGATTCTAATGAGAGCAGTTAGGACCTGCTCTTAGCAGTTCCCAGCAGAGAACACATAGCTGTCACCTATTGTCACTATGCAGTCGGTCTCCTGAGCTTTGCCTCCTGCCTAAGTGCAAAAGAATGTGGATTTTTGAAGTTTCTGTAATTGTATTATGTTGTGGCTTTGTCTGAGTTAATTCTCATTCATGTTTCTTAGAACTAGGAATCTCATTCAATCTGGACCTCATTCTTCCCTTCAACTACAGAACATGTCCCTCCTTTCAATTACCAGTTCTCCTTTATTCTCTTTATCCTCTTTATTGTGAGCTTCACTGGGAGATATTGGAGTCGCTAAATCTGTCCTTTATATCTGTGAACCATTCTTTTATACATTATGTGTGTGTGTGTGTGTGTGTGTGTGTGTGTGTGTGTTGTATCTGAGTCTGTGTGTCTATGTAGTAGTATGTGTGTGTGTCCTCCTGTGTGTGTGTGCACATGTGTGCAGTTCACTACTACCTGCAGGTAAATCTTTTCTTATTGTTTCTAGTCCAGAAATAATTTATGAAGCATTTTATGATCTCTCAATTTTGATATTGTTACTTTATTTTTCTTATAGCCATCTATTTATTTATGCAAGTGTCCATTGTATAAGCTGTCATGTTCTTTGTATGGTTATTTTGACAGGCAGTTCATTGTCCTCAGTTACTGCCTGGTCTCCTAGAACATGCAAAAACTCCAGTTCCAAAACCAGTAATTACTCTGTATGACATTTAAGGCTGAGAATGTAATCAGGTATCCTTACTTGATGGAGACAGAGCAAAGTTTATGAAGGCTTTAAGAGGCAGGAGAAGCCAGGAACAGAGGCATACAGGAGTCTGTAGATTATAGAGTATAGAAGCAGAAAAAGAATGCGGTTCACCTACCCAGAGGCTCTCAAGAAAAAACAGTTCTCCATGGCAACACCTTGATCTATAACTGTTCTAATCTACTATACACTTACAAATTTGTGATGATTTAGCCACCAATATTAAGGCAATTTGCTGCTGTGTGTAGAAAGGTAGGACTGATTCTTCCCCTTTTAAAGGGTATGAACATATTAAGAGCTTTTAGAGTCCTCTTATTTATTCTTCCATGGTTATTGTATCTGGAGTGTTACCATATTAAATTTCCCTTCAACTTTGTCCTTTCTCCTTGGAGACACAGACCTATGGCCTGGCATTTGCCTTCACACATTCTGCCCTGAAGTCTCAATCCTTGATTCAGCAGCAGCAGCAGCTTCTACATAGTGGCCCTGGGTTAATGCTGACCCTATAGAGTGCCAAGCAGCCATAGTGACCCCATCACAGTTTCACTGCAGTCTGCTTCCCCATCTTATTTTGGCAAATGTTATAGCTTAAGCCATCTCCCAGGCAAAGATCGGTAGCCTCTTTTATCGGCAGTGTTTCCAAGTTCATTGCTACTTACTTTGAAGAGTAAAACAATACTGAAGAATGCTAGAGAACATGGCCTGTCCAGAAACATAAGCACACCTAATTTTTTGGCAATCTTGTATGGTCTGATAATTTTAACGCAAGTTGTACATTTGAGATATGAATTTATTCAGATCTTCAAAGTGAATTCCTATTTTTAAATGTGCCTTGATGTGATACATGAATGTATATACTTTAGTTGAAAATACATGTCCATGGATTGGGGTTTTAAATAAGTTGGTAGAGTGCTTGCCTAGAATTCATATAGTCCTGGGTTGATCTCCAGCACACCATAAAAACCAAGTATTGTAGTCCACAATTGTAATCCTACCATTCAGAAGCTGGACATAAGAGAACCAAAGATCAAGTCCATTCTTGGTATTCTAGTGAGTCTGAGCTCAGTCTAGGCTGCATGAGTCCCTTTATCAAATTCAAAAGCATGTCTATAAAGAGGCAACAAAATAGCAGTGGGCTTATAATTATAGACTGTCTAATCTGGTTTCATGGCAAGAACTGTTAGCTGTTAAAAGCACATGAACACTGATTTCAAACAGAAAAAAAAATTACAAATGTCTCCTAACTGAAATGAATATTGATTATAAAATATATCCTGGGTTGAAGACTTCCTTGACAACAATGTGATCAGTATCATTCCTATTATAATGAATCCTTTGATGATGATTAAATATATAGAAAGATACCAATGTCCATTCATAACTCATACAGTGGCACAGGAGAAATTTTAACCACTGCTGTAAGCTAAATCTTTTAGCCAACCACTTTATTTTTAATTGTAAATATCTTCATGGTATTTAAAAATGAAATGTATTTATTCTGTAGATTTGACTTTTATATAACAAGAGTCCCAATAAGCCTGTTTGGGACTCTTGTTGGTTAAGCAGTATCATTCCTGCTATTCTTTCTCACATATACAGTCTTGCAGTGGTCACTGACTTATAGGGGACATTGATTTATTCCATTTGATTCAAAATCTATGCTTTCTTTTTGATTTTATATGGTTTCCATACCATAAATGTAGCAGGAAGTTTGTCATTTCCACTTCTAAAATATGAATGTAAGGCACAAGGAAAGCAACATTTGCTCTGTCTTCTCTCACACAGATTAGTTTTGCTCATCCAGGTACAGACACTGAAAAGCCCTAATCACAATGTGAGGTTTGTTGTGCTCTCTTCACAGATTGCTAAGGGCAAAAAGGTAAGACTGTGGGTTTAAGGGGGTGTCAACTTATATCCTCACAGAGACTTTCTCTGAGTTTGACTAAGATCTCTTCAGTCTCACACCACTTAGAAGGAAAATTAGGGTGACATTCTACTGAACATGGACATCATCCAAAATGACGGTCATGTCAACCAAGCACATATGTAATGCTACATTAAGGAACTCACTTTCTCGCCTATTGATTTCACAGCACATGGCACTGGCCCATTTGTTTGCAAGGTCCTCTAGAAGAATCCGTGTTACAACTCTAGGGGCTAATAGCAGGAGAAAAAAAATGACATATTCTCAAACACTAATGATGTCAAGAGTTGCAGATTTAGGTCAAGATCAATCCAACAATAACTTCTTCAAGATGTTGAGGCATCAAAGACTATCTTTTTGAAGAAAGATTTGCCTCTGCTCACCACACTTTCTTCATTTCTGTTCTTAGTGAGAAAGCATGCGTGTCAAAGGAAAATGGATTTGGGCTTCATATAGTAACCACTTCACACAGCTCCTGTGTTAAAATGAATCAAGCCACTGCAGAACTGGCTTGATCTTGATGTCTGTTCCTTTATATCTTTTGTGCTAATAAACGTTCAGCTTCATTTTCTCATAAAAGGTACAATTCTGATACAGTAAACAATACCTGGATATCATTAGTTTACAGTATCTACATTTCCCTGATTTTTAGGGTTAGTGATGTTCAAAATTAATACCATTCACCTCTCTTCTGCTTTAAAACACTGTTTCCACCTCAACAAGAAATATGATCCAACTTGGAAAAACATTCATGAAACACTGAAGAATCAATTCACCATTTCTACATGTAGAGTTGTAAGTTCACCATCATATAAAGGGAATAGAAAGGTCTATTTGAGTGCATCCAGCACACATGAGAATGATTCAGTATTGCTCCTGCATATTTAAGAGTTTGCATAGCCATGTCTGGTTTAGAAGAATCCAGCTTAGTTCAGCATCTATGCTGGGCCACTTGTATGTGCCTCATCAGCTATTCTTATTAGAAAGAAATAGAGCTATTCATATGCTTGAACCTTTACTAACTTTGAATTACTTGATGACATTTTGTGTGTTTGAGTTCAGAGATGTTACTTAAATTGCATTTTGTTTTACATATTCTTGAAACAAATGCCTAATTTTCTGTAATGAATGGTTGGGGTAAGTGAAATTGTGTAGATGAATTTCTAAATGGTTTTATTAAATAAGAAACACGGAGCCAAATATAGGGGTGAAAGCCTTAGAGATCAGGGAAATAGTGAGAGCCACCAGCCGACCTTACCTCACCATGTCACCGAAGCTTCCCCTGAGAGAGCTACTTCCTGTCTACTCAAGCTTTTATTGCCTTGCTATTCTGCCCTCTCATTGACTCTTAGTCCAGCCACATCACTTCCTTGTCACTGTCTGTCCATACAGACCTCCAGGTCTCTATGGTTGGTACTGGGATTAAAGGTGTGTGTTACCACACTTGGCTGTTCCCTAGTATGTCCTTGAATACACAGAGACCCTGCTTGCCAAGTGTTCGGATTAAGGGCATGTGCTACCACTGCCCGACTTTTGTGTTAATGGTTTGCTATTACCCCTGATCTCCAGGCAAACTTTATTTACTAACATACAAAAAAAATTACCACATTTCAGCACAAATAAAATATAACCACAAAGTTGGTCAGTGGGTAAAGTTGCCTTGCCACTAAGTCTGACTACCTGAATTCTGTTTCTGGAGCTAACATAGTGGAAAGAGAAAACCAATTCTTACAAATTGTCCCCTGATCTTTACAGGGATCACCAATTTGGGGTAAGACAAATTGTGCCATTTACTCAGGACCAATATATGCAGAGCACTGAGCTGCTATTGGAGCCATAGGCAGCTCTACAGGTGCAGTTTTAGGACTTCAGAAAATCAGGAAAAGAGGTACGTCAATCACAGATTTAAGATAAAAATTATATACATATGAGAGAATTGGATGAAGAATTCACCAGTGGCTGTTTCCATTAACTGCAGCAAAAATGGTATGCCAAATGTTAGTTAAGGTCAATGGACATAGCCACAGCATTTATTTGATATCGGGCATATTTGTGTTTTATAAACTGAATTCATCATGCTTATCTTGCTTATTATCTGTCACTCTAAATCATTTGGATTGTTCCAGTCACAACAAGAGCCCAATGACCCAATAACATAACTGTAACTCCCTGCTGAGACACAGTTGGGTATTTATTGCTACACTTTCCAAGTTCTTGTCAGTACCTAAGTTTTCTAAGAGTGAATATTTCCCCCATAAACAATTACAGCTATCATAACATCCCCCGAGGTGCATAATTTAGGATGAGATGTTTAATGTTCTTATACAAGAACTACTCTAGCATGTAAATTTTTTTTCCAAACAGAAAGCCAACTTAGTATTCAATTCAATCCAGAATGGTTACTCTTCCCCACAAAGCATTTAAAATGTCATTTTTCACATACATATGGACATGCATCCCGCTGTACAATTGCCCTATAGCAATTACACTGTATGGAAAGAAGCTAAATTGGCAACAGCATTATAAAGAATTTGTTATGAAGTTTTATTTGAGCACTTGCCAATGGAAAAATCACGAGTTCTTGAAAATAATAATATTGATGCTAACGCAAGGAAGAGGTCAGCCCCATGTAAGATGGTCTGCAACAAGAAGATCAGGGAGTCGGAGAAGAGGGCTGATAAATCTCTGAGGGAAAAAAGTCTCATCCTTCCTAAGAGATTCTACAAATCCATTGGGGATGATGACTTGAAAGCTAGTAAAAGTTAGTTACTCTGTGTGTGTGTGTGTGTGTGTGTGTGTGTGTGTGTGTGTGTGTGTGTAATACTCATAATTCATGTAATGTAAACTCAGTGCATCTGAAGATATATGATCTATACCATATTTTCCCCAAATAAATACCTTTAGGTTGTTGCAACTACTCAGCCTTTGTAAATGCCACTATGACACAAAAATTTGGCACAATCATATTGGTAGTAACCCTTAACAAAATGTCACACACTATGATTTTTCTAATTGCTCCTTCGAAAGCAGTCTCAAGTACCCTCTTTCACATCTCATCACAGCTGAAGTACAACAATATCTTTATCCTAACTCGTGTTCTCTTGGAAGATGAACGACACAAGAGCTACACTTTGAAGCATGTGTATCCTCAATTGCTTCCATGTTTGGCAAGGACAGAGGCAGCTAACTATAGCTTGAAAACTTAGGGTAGACACAGTAATACATAGAGATATAGGTAAGATATGGATCATTATGCTATTGTCCCATATAAAAACATAAAAATTTAAAATAATGTTCTGGGAAAAGAGTACAATTGGTAATAATAGAAACTCATTTTCACACTCAGATAACCACAGGTAGACCCTCCCAGATGTAACTCTTTGGCAACTTTGGAGTTTACTGATGGAAAGTTTCTGTGAAAGACCTCCAAGCACAAATTTCAGCAGACTTGGATCATAGACCTGATTTGATTTTGGTCAACACAAGATTTAATTAAAGTGGAGCTACCCATATGTCTTCTCTCATGACTGTTGGGCCATATGTCTTCTCTCATGACTGTTGGGCATAGAACTGAGCACTTGCCCCTGAAGGAAACACTATACAGAACACAGGAGCAAGGATACAGGAAGACACCTTGGTCCCTAAGTAGCTAAAGTATCCGAGACTTGTGTTCAGTTACTAATACTTTTGATCACAGACAGAGGAAGCATATGCCATCATATCTTCCTCACTGGCACAGACCCCTAACTGCTGGCTGAGAGGATTTTTAGGACATTTAAAATGTGCTCACCTACTTTTTTCTCCCCTTTTCATTTTTTTCAATTTATCTCCTTAAACACAGATATTGAAAACAAAACCTTTGAAGGTCAGCTGTTTACAGAAGAATAGTTAGAAATTCACCTTCATATATAAAAGGAAGATGTAAAGTAAAAAAAAAATAGGGTAAGGGAGTGTCACCCACCAGGCTAAAACTAATATTAGGCACCAAGATGGTCTGCACACATCCAAACAAAAGGCAAAAATTGAAGACAAAGCCACCAACTGCAGAAAAAGGGGTTAGCCTGACTTCTACAGTCCCATAATCAGACTCAGAAGTCCAGTATTCACATCAGAATCATAAGGCACACATAGTGCTGAAAAATGTTGTCAGACAAAAATACTATATCCTGTATAACTGTTCTTCAATGTCAGGAAAAGGAAGACATTGGCAAATAAAAAAAATGGAGAATTTTGTTACCACCTGATTTCCCCATAAGAAATGCTATAGTGAGTCCTTGCTGAAATGTGTGTTAGATTGTAACTCAAAGCCATATGAAGAAAATGAGATTAAGATAAAGGGAAAGCAATGAATAATCTAAAATCTAATATTAGTGTAGCTTCATGCAACTCTCTCTTCTGTATTCTATATAAGACTAAAATGTTAAAACAGATTTGCTCATATAAATATAGATTGTAATATCACATTTTGTTTTCTACATAATTTAAAAATTAGATGTAGAAAAAGTATCAGTTGTTATTTTGGGACATAAAATATACAAAGACACAATTTTGTAGCATGGACAACTGAAAAGGATAGAAATGAAGCTTTTAAAGGAAAAAATAAGTTTTCTTTATAGTAGTAGTATAGTCTTGCTGGTATTCATCCCAATTAAACTGTAACTTGTAGCTATATCATATTAAAATGTAATTACCATGGAAACCACAAAAATAGAAAACAAAAAGAATACAGGAAAGGAAATGAGAAAAGAGTTTAAAGACTTCATTTTAAAAATCAACTATGCAACTGAAGGGATGGCTTAGCAATTAAGGGCACTGGTGCTCTTTCAAAAGACTCAGATTCAATTTCTAGCATCTACACGGTGGCGCACAACCATCTGTAACTCCAGTGCCAGGGGATCTAATTGCCTCTTCTGAGTTCTATGGACACCAGGCATGGGTGTGGTATTCAGCGATACACGAAAGCAAAACATCCATACACATCACATAAAAATAATTTTTAATAAACCAACTACACATGAAAGAAGGGGGAAATGCAGTAAGAGAAGCAGAAAAGGTGATAAGGCACGCAAAGTCAAAAAACCCTGCAATTGACTAATAGGTGATTGTGAATACATAGATTAATGTTGCTAATCAAAAATTGGAGTTCAGCAGACTGGATTTTAAGTCATTTTAAATTACTCTATTTACCAAAATATAGCCTCATCTCAGAATGAAAGACACAAAAAAAGAATTTGAAAAAGAAATTTCACACCCAACAAAAGCAGAAGTTATCATAATATCAAACAGAAATTGACTGTAAGAAATGAAGCATCAGATGATGATGAAAATTACATATTAATAAAATGTCTGGTGCAGATATCATGAAGGCACAGAACTATAAATACACACACACACACACACACACACACACACACACACACACACACAAATCAACAATCACAGTCCACCATGGCAGGTGAGAACATCATTAATTCTATCATCTACAATGAATATCAACTAGGAAGAGAGAAAATAAGGATATTAACAGAATCAACCAAAAAGATATAAGGGATATACAAACAACTCTTTACCCAATGGCAGATGTATACTTTGCTGTTGCTGCAGTTTTCCTGTGTCCACCTCACTCCTGCAGCTGCTTACACCCAAGTAAACACACAGAGACTTATATTACTTATAAACTGTATGGCCATGACAGGCTCCTTGTTATCTAGTTCTTATATCTTAAATTAACCCATTTCTATTGGTCTATAAATTGTCATGTGTTTTGTGGCTTACTGGTACTTTTACATCTTGCTTCCTCTGTGTCTGGCTGGCAGCTCCTGACTCAGCCTTCCTGTTCCCAGCATTCTCCTCTCTCTTTGCCCTGCCTATACTTTCTGCCTGGCTACTGACCAATCAGCACTTTATTTATTAACCAATCAGAGCAACACATTTACAGCACACAGAGCGATATCCACAGCACTTCCCCTTTTCTTTTTTTTTTCAAAAAGGAATTTTTCTTTTTTTCAAAAAGGAAAAAAATTTTCAACAATTTACTGTGTTAAATTTTAAATTTAACATAGTAAAATTACATATAACAAAACAATTATCAAGCAAGAATTATAGTTATAATATAGTCTATTTGTATTTGGCAAAATTAAAGAAAATATCCTATCTACCCTGTATTCGAGAGTTTAAGGTTTCATATCTAATTTATCTTTTATCATAACTAAGGAAAATTATAACTATCTAGTCTTTAACTACATCAAAGGCCTCAGAAGGACATAATATTACTTGAGAAATGGGAAAAGAGTACAAGCAACTTTCCAGAGTCCTACAAGAGTAGACAGAGACAGGTGGCAACCTGGACAGTCATCCAAAGTTCCTCTGTAAAGTTGGGGCATCTGTCTTTATCCCACAGGTCTAGAGTCCCTCAGTCACTTCTCTTTGTGTCCTGTAGAATGTCTGGCATTTTCCTCTGCAAAGCAAGAATCTGAAGGACCATTTCACCTTGCAAATTTCAGTGGTCACCTTCCTATAGGTCCTGTATGTGCAGTCGATACATCATTTTGTCAAGCAGTCCAGGCAAGAACAGATTCTTGCCCAAATGGCTATTTTTGCCAAGAAGAAAATAAACTCCATATGGAGTGTCTTCAATGCCCGTCCTCCTCTCTGAAGTAAATAGGTGCTTCCAGGAGCAGGCATGTCTCACTATCCAGAAAGTCTAAATTTTTAAAACATTTTAAATGCCATATTCTGTAGGTCTTTGAAGTGTTTGAAAATTACCCACCTAATTGAATTATACTTATGTATACCTAGAAAACTTAACATGACTATAAGTTTGACTATCATAGAAGACTAATTATTAATCTGTATTTTTAAATTATCCATTACAATCTAAATGAGTTA